GTAAAGTAAAATGCTGGAGAACTGATGGCCAGTAATGGAATCAGAGGACTCGGCTCTACACGATCAAGGCTAATGAGTTAGTTGATACTCATAAATAAGATGTGCCACTTGGGGTAAAGACTGCAAACTACAGCCTCAGCCTTGCTTTTTATCGAAAATGTGATTTTGAGTGTATTCTATTTCATTTATTTCCTCATTTTAGTTGTTTTCCATTTAATATGTTCAAACCTTTTTATTTTTAATTACAGTCTCGAGTTATAGCTGTACTGGATTGGGAGCTTTCAACCATTGGTCATCCTTTGTCAGACTTAGCACATCTCTGTATGTTCTACTTTTGGCCAAGGGCAGTTCCACTGATAAGTCAAGGTTCTTTTTTTCAAGAAGACATAGGTATGGAAACTTAATACTGCCTAAATTGCTATTAATATAAACTTTATTATTCCTCATAATTTAAAACTAGGATTATATTGCAATTTCAGAAAGCTTTTATTTGCTTCTTGAAATGTTTCTAAATCATTTTATTTTTATTGAATTTTCTGAATATAGCATTCCACTTGTAGTGATTTATGATAAAATGTAATCCTTTGTATACAGTGTTCTTTTGGAAATCAACATTTAGAGCATGTTTTGTTATGTGGACTAGTGGTTATTATATTTAGTTTTATATACATATGTAATATTATGACATTTTGAAATATTCACCATGAGATTTCTTTTAAAGTTTATAGTATGTGCTGTTTTTATAGGGATACCATCAATGGAGGAACTAATTTCAGTATATTGCCGCTGCAGGGGAATCACTCCTATTCTTCCTAACTGGAATTTCTTTCTTGCCCTTTCATTTTTTAAAATGGCTGCGATAGTACAGGTAATTAATTGTTTTTAACCTGTGTTTCACCATTATTTATTAATGTATGGTTGACAATATTTTCTGTCCTTTTAGGGGTTTTGTATTCTTTATCCTTAGATCATTTGGCTTCTCATAGTGACAAATACCAGACATAGGTAAAATATAAATCCAAAACTTACAGAATAGCAATTTAGCAAGGAAAAAAGTTGAGTAGCAAAATGGATCATCACTGTTTGGTATAATAAACTTAGAAGATGAAGGGCAGAAGCGAGAAAGACATAATGACAAAAAGAGAAAAGCATGTGAGATCGGCTATTTCCTGAATATCCAGTGTAAGAAAGAGCTAAAATCTTATAATGATGTCTGCTTCAGGCTATAAAACC